TTGGATTCAAATTTTTGACCCGAATTCTATTTGAGTCAAGATTTAGCTTGGTCCAGGATTTAGTTTGGGCTAGACTTTCGAACTCACGTTTGAGCCAAAATTCATCTTCAGTCAGGTTTCAATTTGGGATGAGATTCAGTTTGGACCATGATTCAGTTTGGGCCAGAATTTAGTTGTGGCTGGTGTTCATTTTGGGCTAGGGCCGAGAGTCAGTCTGGGTTGGAATCTGACATTCAGGTTGGGCCAAAATTCAGTTTTGGTCAGGAATCAGTTTGGGCAGAGATGCGGTTTGAGTAAAAATTCATTTTTGGACTGGGATTCAGTTTGGGCCAAGATTCAGTTTGGGCAGAGCTGCATTTGTTTAACATGTGCCCTTGTGGGCAGACCTGGTTTCAAACACTCCAGAAGTACACTTCAAACACTCTTTCAAAATATGTGGCACTATAATTGAGGCTGTTGCTACAAAACCTTGTATCTTTAACATAACCATTTCTATTGGTCAATTGGTCATAAATTGTTAATGCAATGTAAAGGGAAATTGGTACATTTCAGTTATGTCAAAGTTAAGTTACGAGGTTTTTCTCTCACCGTGACAAGTTGCTCTTTTATAGTATGTTTACAAGAAGATGGACAGTTCTCTGTCATGTTTGTGTACAGTAAGCATGTTTTATGAAGTTCTTATTCAAGTACCTTTCTATCTAGTTATTGCCATGTTATCTCAGTACGTGAGTAAATTTCCACTCAAAGTGACAACAGAAATTTGATGCATGTCTGAGTACTTTTTTTGTTTGGCCCTTTAGACAACAACCTCTTTCACAGTTTATCCGGCCAGCTCTATGAAACAAACAATGCTGTGACATGCAGGGTCATTTGTGTGTGCGTGTGTGTTTGAGAATCAGGGTGTGAGACCTGATATGTTCTAAAGGTTGCTAGTGTGCACACATACACATTCATTTATTAGAGTTTAATACAAACCTGCTCACAGAACCCCTTTCACCTTTATTCACACCTCGAATTACAGTCTCCTTTGTCAGGTATGTGTTAATTTCTCTGTGTGGGAGTGTTTCAGGGCAGGTATTCTGCTGATTCATCTGTATGGTGGACCTGGTTTATAGCTTCTTTTAGGATTTAGTTTCTATCAGGATTCAGTTTGGGCCAAGATTAAGTCTGAGTTCTGATTCAGTTTGATTTGTGATCAAGGTTGGAACTTGATTGACTTGGCCGGGAATCAGTTTGGATTTGTATTCAGTTTAAATGAGGATGCAGTGTGGGTTGGGATTCACTTTGGGTCATGACTCACTTTGAGCTAGGATTAAGTTAGGATTCAGTTTGATTTGTGGTTAAGGTTGGGATTGGACTGACTTGGCCAGGATTCAGTTTGGATTTGGATTCAGTTTGAGTGAGGATTTAGTTTAGGTCATGATTCAGTTTGGGCTAAGTTTTAGTTAGGATTCGGTTTGATTTGTGATCAAGGTTGGAATTGAATTGACTTGGCCAGGATTGACTTTGGATTTGGATTCAGTTTAAGTGAGGATTACGTTTGGGTTGGGATTCACTTTGGGTCATGATTCATGATTCAGTTTGGGCCAGGATTAAGTTTGAATTAGGATTCAATTTGATTTGTGATCAAGGTTGGAATTGGACTGACGTGGCCAGGATTCACTTTGGATTTGGATTCAGTTTAAATGATGATTCAGTTTGAGTTGGGATTCACTTTGGGTCATGATTCAGTTTGGGCCAAGATTAAGTTTTAGTTATGATTCAGTTTGATTTGTGATCAGTGTTGGAATTGGATTTTTGAATTTGGATTCAGTTTGGGTCATGATTCGGTTAGGGCTAAGATTAAGTTTGACTTAGGATTCAGTTTATTCCAGGATACAGTTTGGATCAGGATTCAGTTTTGGCTGGGGATTCAGTTTTATGCCAGGACTCGGTTTGAATTAGAAATCACTTTGGGCCTGGATTCAGTTTGGTTCAGTATTTGGTTTGGGTCAGTATTCACTTTGGCCCAGTATTCATTTGGATTCAGTACAGTTTTTACTGTAGCAGCAAAAAACAAAACAGAATAATCAGAAGCAATGAACCCACTTAACATATCTGTGCTATTGCTGTCCGGTTCGTCCTGCACAGTAACGTAGCTGCACTTGTATTCATCACCTGGCTTTATTTACGATAAAGCTTTGACATCTGTTCTGTCCCCAGTTGAATCTTAATGATGAGGTGTATATTTTATTTTCATTTAAAACTTTGTGGTTCTCCCCTCTGTACACTTACTCCTATATGCACAAGCAGAGCAAAACAACAAATTGGTGGTGCTAACCTGACCAATGACACGAAAAACCTTTTGTTTTTCTGCTGAAGTGAACAAAAGGCCACATTTAGTTGGCTATGATCAATTGGTTGTGTTCTTCAGAAGACTTTAAATACCCCAGCCAGGAGTTGCTGCAGCTGCTATGCTGGTTTTTGGTACTATAGACAGTGACATTAAAGACATTAAAATTTGTGTTTATTGGGCTTTGTTAAGGAATGCCAAGCTGGTTCGCGGGGTTCAGCAATTCCAGATTGGGCTTCAAAGATTTACTTATGTAAAACAACACTGTTTATACGGTGTGTCTGTGTGACACATGACTTTATGACTTCTAGTGTCCCTTCTATCAGGCCCTCAAGACTAGTTTAAAATGACTTTCTTTCTTTCTTTCTTTCTTTCTTTCTTGCTTTCTTTCTTGCTTGCTTGCTTGCTTGCTTGCTTGCTTTCTTGCTTACATGCTGGCCCTTTCTGGCCTAACATACATGCCTTGGCCACTAGAGGGGGACAGATGCTTAATTTTTACCTGCAGCTTTTACCACCTCTTAGAAAAATCAATGTAGTTCTCGCGGTAGACTGTGAAAATGATCCCCACTTCATACTGAAAAAACAAATTCAAGGTCTGATAATGATATTTACTGAGAATTATAATATAGTTTAAGTCTATATATTTCTGATGCTTCTGTCCTGCTTAAGAGCTAGTGATGTTTAATGCCAGCAAAGTGAAGCAGGTAGACTACGAACCACATTTATTTACATTCTTACGGCTCTGTGCCCTACACACAAGGGTTCTTTAAAGGCAATGGTTTTATATAGGTCCATTTTATGCTTAACTGGTTCTTTGTGTGCTTAAATCGTTCTTCAGATTGATGGAAAATATGTTGTATATGGTTCTATATAGAACCTTTTTAAAAACTGGCTCTATACGGCACCAAAAGGGTTCTTTTATTGCTACCAGATTGACATCATAACAATAAAAGAATACTTTTTGGTGCTATATACATGAAAAATGAAGGTTTATCAAGCATTCTTTAGCAAAGACAATGGTTCTATATAGAACCATGAATTCTCAAAAAACTATTTGCATGATTAAGTGGTTTTTGCATGGTGAAACTGTTCTTTAGAAACATGGAGAATGTGTTGTATGTAGTTCTATGGAACCTTTTTGAAAATGGTTCTATATAGTGCCTAAAAGGTTACAATGTCAATCTCTTAATAGAAAAATGCTTTTTGGTCCTATATAGAACCGTTTTTCAAAAACATATTCATATACAACACATTCTCCATCAGTCTAAAGAACCATTTCACCATGCAAAGAACCGCTAACCATATAGAATTCATGGAACCATTGCCTTTACTAAATAACACTTGAACAACTCTTTTTTAAGAGTGAGAGAAAACAGCCATTCCTCTTTTTCATCTGACGCTGTGTATTTTTTTATGGTGAATCGTGAATCGTCCCACAGGCTTTTCCTGCAGGTATAGCCTGAAGTCTCCTTTCTGAACACTGCTGCTCTCTCCGGTGTGAAATGTACCACTGTGATCATCGACTCCTTATTCAACTATACGCACCTGCTTACAGCGCAATGTATGACATCACACTGCAGTTGCCTCTAGGAGTGATGATGCAATTCGTGATGTCATTACCGCCCCTATATACAAGTACACTTCAAAGCCAGACACGTCGTGAAACACGAAGTTTAAAATCACCAGAAGGCAAAAGCATGACCTCAATACCACCAATTAGAGAGGCTGGAATTGGTGACGCTGGCACTGCACGAATAAAAATCCTAATAAATTAATCCTGAACCCTGAATCCTACAAGTGGATTCATTACACATCCGCATCCACTCAAATCTCTTTTTATTCTCTCTCTCTGTCCATTCTCCCTCAATTCTTTTCTCCTACCCACTCTCTCTCCTCTCCATTCTCTGTCTCTTTCTCCTCTTCATTATCCCAATGCTCTCTCTCTCTCTTTCTCTCTCTCTGTTTTTTTCTGCTTTTTATTTTTGGCCTCTCTCTCCTTCTCCCCTCTCTCTCTCTCTCTCTCTCTCTCTCTCTCTCTCTCTCTCTCTCTCTTTCTCTCTCTCTCCCCTTCTCTGTCCCTCTCTTCATTATCTCTGTCTCTTTCTGGCATTCTGTCTCCATCCTCTCTTCCTTCCTTTCTCTTCCACCTCCATTCTTTCTCTCTCTCACTCTCTCTTTCCTATTTTTTCAACATTTGGCCTCTCTCCCCTCTCCATTCTCATTCTCATTCTCTCTCTCTCTCTCTCTCTCTCTCTCTCTCTCTCTCTCTCTCTCTCTCTCTCTTTCCCCCTCCCCTCTCCTAAGGCTCTAAATAGCTCCGTCCTCACCGTCTATCCTGTTTCTGTCTCTCAGTCTCTGTTGCTCTCCGGCGCTGCGCGGAGCTCTTTTGGTGTTCGAGGTCTTTTGGTTTCCGCGATGGCGCTTCCTTCCCCGGATTAACGCGCGCGCGCAGTAGAGTTTTCATTTGTTCGTTTGTCTCTTTGCTTTTTACTTTTTCATTTATTTTTTTCTTCTACTTCTTTTTTTTTTTTTCAAATGGTGACCGAAGCCCGTGAGCGCCCGCGCGCGCTCGTGCTCTCCGCACGGGGCGAGTCCCCGAGCGCGCAACAAGACGCGGCGGTACCGCGCGGACGCGCGCGCACGCTCCGCTGACCCTGCGGGCGCGCGCATGGAGACGCCGGCGCGCTGCCTGTCCTCCTCCTCGTCCAGAGCCGTCCCTCCACCTCCCGCTGCTCCCCCGCCGATGTGGAACGGCACGGAGGCGGACGCGCGTCCGGCGTTGCGCGCGCTCACGGGCTGCGTGCTGAGCGCGCTCATCCTGTGGACGCTGCTGGGCAACGTGCTGGTGTGCGCGGCCGTGCTGCGCTTCCGCCACCTGCGCACCAAGGTAACCAACACGTTCATCGTGTCGCTCGCGCTTTCGGACCTGCTGGTGGCCGTGCTCGTAATGCCGTGGAAGGCGGCGGCCGAGGTGGCCGGCTACTGGCCATTCGGTGCCTTCTGCAACATCTGGGTGACCTTTGACATCATGTGCTCCACGGCGTCCATCCTGAACCTGTGCGTCATTAGCGTGGACCGCTACTGGGCCATCGCCAGCCCTTTCCGCTACGAGCGCAAGATGACCCAGCGCGTGGCCTTTGTCATGATCGGAGTCACGTGGACGCTCTCCGTGCTCATCTCCTTCATCCCCATCCAGCTGAACTGGCACAAGGCGCGTGCCGAGAGCGCGCGCTCCACTTCAAACACCGCGGACATGGACGCGCCCGAGGAGCACGCGGCCACGGCTCGCGCGGGCGCTCCGGCGCGCGAGGACTGCGACTCGAGCCTGAGCCGCGAGTACGCCATCTCCTCGTCGCTCGTGAGCTTCTACATCCCCGTGGCCATCATGCTTGTGACGTACACGCGCATCTACCGCATCGCGCAGACCCAGATCCGGCGCATCGCCTCGCTGGAACGCGCGGCCGAGCACGCGCAGAGTTGCCGGGCGGCGTGCCGCGAGCACCAGCAGCTCCAGCAGCAGCACCACCACCAGAACCACACGAGCACGCTCAGGACGTCCATCAGCCGCGAGACCAAAGTGCTGAAGACGCTCTCGGTCATCATGGGCGTGTTCGTGTGCTGCTGGCTGCCCTTCTTCGTGCTTAATTGCGTGGTGCCCTTCTGCGCCAGGACGAGCCCCGGGGGTGGAGGTGGGGGCTCGGGAGCGCGCCGCTCGGGAGACGCGAGCGCGGGCGCGTGCGTAAGTGACACCACGTTCGACGTGTTCGTGTGGTTCGGCTGGACCAACTCGAGCCTGAACCCCGTCATCTACGCCTTCAACGCCGAGTTCCGCAAGGCCTTCGCGAGCCTTCTGGGCTGCAGGCGCCTGTGCACGAGCACGCCCGTGGAGACGGTCAACATCAGCAACGAGCTCGTGTCCTACAACCAGGACACGCTGCTGCACAAGGAGATCGCCAGCGCCTACGTCAACATCATCCCCAACGTGGTGGAGTGCGCCGAGCGCGAGGACACTTTCGACCGCATCTCGCAGCTCTCGCGCAACAACGACGACCTGGACGACCTGGCCACGGACTCAGCGTGCGAGCTGGACCGCAGCGCCGCCGACATCAGCCTGGATGCGCTCGCGCCATTCACGCCGAACGGCGTGCGTTAGCCATCAGCGACGTCTGTGACATCATGTGCTCCGTCATCCTCAACCTGCCCGCCAGGTGTTGGCTCTGTGGAGGGAGGGGCTGATAAGGGGATGATGAGGGGGGGGATCTTAAATGTGTCACTGTGGTTATTGTTGGGATGGGGTTAACGTTGGTCATGAGTAACGAGACCTGCTGTGCCGTTCTGCACCGGATTTGCACGAGCCGGCCGGCACGCGGCCTGAATGCATTAGAGATTTGAGGCCGTTTAGCTAATCCCGTAAAAATGGGACAGAAGGAGTAGAGATGCCGCCAACGAACAAGAGTGAAAATGGAACATATATATATCACACACACATACACACACGTGTGCATACATACATATATATGTTTGTGTATGTATGTATATATGTAGAAATGCATACCTACAACACTGAAAAAAGTGATGCATTAAATTTCATTTAATTTATATACAATTTCCACATGAATAAAATCGGTTATCTACATTAATCTACACATTTGAAGTAAATTCAGTGCATCACTTTTGTTCAGCCTATGCACATACACTCACAGAGCCAAACACAGAAGTGCCCACTGTCCCACCCTCTATCTATCTATCTATCTATCTATCTATCTATCTATCTATCTATCTATCTATCTGTCTGTCTGTCTGTCTAACTAACTATCCCTTCCCTTCTCTCTCCTTCCTAGTACATATGTAGATGACTCTCTGACTCACTTCCTTCCCTCCTGTGTGCTGACCTCATTATCTGGTGACCCTCTTGGTGTCCACAGCTGGGTTCCAGCACCCTGACACAAGCTCCAGTGCACTTCTTTGGTCTCTCGCCCACCCTCTCTCTCCCTCCTCTATCTCCTCCTCTGTTTTACAGAGACGCTTTACTGTGACTCGAACTGACACTGTACATTAGTTTCTGAATGGAAGTTGTACTGTACTGTAAACCCTTTGGGCATGACGAGTTTCATGATGTACTGCTGCAGTCTACTGATTTTTTTTTATACAATATGTAATTTTTTTTATCATAGTGGTGTGTTCATAAATGCACCAGTATCTTCAGAGATTAACATGATGTTGGCAATTACAGGCTCGGCTACAATGAGGCAGACAAAGACCGATATGAATATGACTATGTGGGACAGTATCTTTCTCGCCCTCTCCCTCACCTCCCTCTCTTTTTCTTTGCCAGGCACATTATGAACTGTGTAGACTGTCACTGTAAGCCGATCACTTGCCTATGAGAATGTGAAAGAGATTCTGCAGAGTCTGTCTTACTTACGCCCTGTGGGTTTTGTTTTTTTAAAACTGTATGTACGACACAATATGAATGTATGCAGTCCTTCAAACAGTGATGTGGACCAGAGTGATGTTTTTTTTTTTTTTAATAAAAGGGTCTTTACAGTGGTACATGTTGTGGTCGATGTTTGCTGCCTTTGGAACAGGGTGCATGTGTCAAGAGTATGTGTACAGTGCTGTACATACTTGTATTCAGAGACCACCCTAACTTAAAAAGCAGAAAACATATACTTAACAGTTACACTGAACAACTAAACATAATTCCAGATTTTTCCGTATTTAGCGTGTCCACTCCACTGCCTTTATTTTTTCCACACCTCCAAAGTTCAATCTTAGAAGTTGGTTACACTTCCTGCTTCTTACGACCTAAGTATTCCCGAACACATTCAGTGATGTTGAGGTATGGACTCTGGGGTGGAGTCCATTAATTTTCTCAGTAAGAACTTCTTGACAGCTACACATCCTGTCAGACTCATAGCATCGAGTTGTCTTCTCACAGTGAAAGGATGGACAGAAACACCTGTGGATTTTTTCAGATTTGAAGCCAGAGTTGAGCTTGATTTTCTCCTCTTTCTCAAAGATGAAAGCTTTAAGTGCTGTTTATCTGATGGTGACCGTTTTAGTGGTCTACCAGTTCTTGCATGGTTGTTAGGAGTTTTTTGAACTTTCATGTACAGCATATTATGTGTGTGCATATGTGTGAGTTGTAGGAGGCCTGATTGAGTGAAGTTCGCAGATGTGGCTGCTGATGTTTGCATAAAACCCAAAAACAACAGTGCAAAAGATTCAAATGATTCTGGAGCTCATCAAAGAATCACATATGGTTCCCTAAAGAACGTCCAGTTTACTGTAGGGGCAGTGTTCATAAGGCTACAAGATACATACATAAGTCCTTCATGACATACACAAACATTTATAACAAGCATTGTTTGTCATAAAGGTTGCATTTGCCAGCGTTGATGTCAAGTTGACCTAACTTCTCAGGTAATAGTGATAGGCTGGCTTGGTGGTGTAGCATTTTAAACAGGAAACTCAATGTCACTTAGCGAACCAAAATTCATTAGGTTGAGAAGGATTAGCCATGCACCAGTAACTATAAATGAATGTATATGTGGGCAGAACATAGAAAAGTTACTGATGAGATTAAACCCTGAGAAGAAACAATTAGACCTTAGAGACTGTTTCCCTTGGGTGTGTTTATGTGTTGGAACTGTCAGAAAAGGTCAGAACTGTCTGACCTTACTGACCTCAATGAAGCCAGGCAGTGGTCAGAGTCAGATCCTCCCTGGGGAGGAAAACAGACCACAGCCAGACTGCGACAGAAAACCTTCAGCATGAAGGTCAGAGACTTTTGACTGTTTAACACTCTGAAAAAACAAAAAAACATCCTGTTTATTTGAGATAGGAGGTAAAGCTGGGTAGTATTAGAACAGCGGAAAAATTGCTCACTTACACACAAGTGTTTTGTCCTTTCCTAGATCCATCTGTGCAAGTTATTATTATTAAGTGTCGTCAAGTTTTTTTCCATCTCCTGGCAACCTTATAGTTAGTGTTTCTCCAGAATATACTATATTCTGCTTTGGTCTTCAGGCTTCCGAAGGGCTTTTTCACAAAGTTAGGCAAAATGTTTTTTGCTTTGAGTAGTGATGGATGATTACTGAATACACTGTCCTGAATGTGTTTAGTAACATATTCCTTTACAATACATAGCAATGTATCGATAAAAAATATTGATAACCCAGATGTGAAAGTAGTGCTCCCAATACCCCTTGTGTAGGATCCAGTACATCACTGATGCTAAACTTATCACTCGCAAACATGTCGACTACTGAAAAGAATATTAATTTGATTATCACTGAAAAGAAATCAGTAACACTGAGACTAATAATCATCACACTGATTTATCAGTCTACTCAGGCTTTAGCAGTACTCAGTAACACTGAGATTAATAACTGACTCATGACATTGATTTATCATTCTACTCAGGCTTTAGCAGAGCTCAGTAACACTGAGATTAATAACTGATTGTCAGATTGATTTTTCAGTCAACTCAGACTGTAGCAGAGGTCGATAATGCTGAGATTAATAACTGATCATCACATTGACTTATCAATCTATGCATCTATGCAATCTATGAATCTACTCAGGCTTTAGCAGAGCTCAGTAACCCTGAGATTAACAACTGACTTGCTGATTGGTTTATCAGTCTAAACAGGCATTAGCAGAGTTCAGTAACGCTGAGATTAACAACTGATCATTACTTTGATTCATCAGTCTACTCAGGCTTTAGCAGAGTTCAGTAACCTCGAGATTAACAACTGAACTGCTTACTGATTTATCAGTCTAAGCAAGCTTTATCAGAGTTCAGTAATGCTGAGATTAACAACTGATGATCACTTTGATTTATCAGTCTACTCATGCTTTAGCAGAGCTCGTAAACACTGAGATGAATAACTAATCATCACACTGATTTATCTTTTTTGAGGCTTTAGCAGAGCTCAGTAACACTGAGATTAATGATTGGTTATCACATTGATTTATCAGTCTACTCAGTCTTTAGTAGAGTTTGGTAACAGATTAATAACTGATTATCTCATTGATTTTTCAGTCTTTTAGCAGAGCTAAACAGGCTTTTAGCAGAGCTCAGTAACACTGAGATTAACAACTGATCATCACTTTGATTTATCAATCTACCCAGGATCATCACACTGATCTTGCAGTCTACTCAGTCCTTAGTAGAGTTCAGTAACAGTGAGATTAATAACTGATCACATTGATTCATCAGTCTACTCAGTCTTAAGTAGAGTTTGGTAACAAAGATGATTAACTAATCATTACATTGATTTATCAGTCTACTTAGACTTTAGTATTTTTGCTACACACTGTGAGCTGATTTTAAAATACCCACTAAAGAACTATATAACAATAAACTGTATGTTTTTCATTTAGAGGGGAGGCGTTCATAATGTGTGCTCCTCCTTCTGTATTCTGAATACTGCATTTCCAAATGTAACTTAGACTTGGTCCTTTCCAATGTATCAGTTCTTCTCAGAATATGTCCAAAGTAAGATAGCTTTACTTTGCTTATCTGGGCCATGAGTGAGAGGTGAGGCTTGATTTGATGAAAGATCCATTTGTTTGTTTCTTTGCTGGCCAAGGTACTCTCAGACGTCTTCACTAACACCAGCAAGTTCAAAGGCATCATATTTTCTGGTCTTGCTTGTTTCCTGTGCAGCTTTCACGCTCATAAAAAAGCACAGAGAAGACTATAGCCTGGACAGTTCTTATATGTGTTTGTAGAGACAAATCATTGTATTTTGAAGATCCTTAAAAGCTCCTTCATCCTTTTGCTGTTGACTGCCAACGTCTGTCATTTTTCTTGAGTGCTGTACCCTGTGTTGTTAATAACTGATCCAAAAGCTGTCCACCATTTCCAGGTCTTCTTTTCTTTAATGGAAAAGTTTACCTTAGTCTTTTTCACATTGAGCTGAAGTCCCATCTTTTCACCTCATTCAAAATTGCCCATAATGTCTATATTTATAACAGATATTGATAAAACTAGTTCCAAAAGTAAGTAACAGTTTTCAGCAGCCCTCAAGCCTGTTGGATAAGCATCTCAGGTGGCTCCCCATGAAGCTGCTTGAGAGAATGGCAAGATTGTGTAAAGCTACATCAGAGCAAATCAAGCTAGAATCTAAAATCAAAGAAGTT